ACCTTAACCCAGCATTAAACCTCTCTCCTATCTTTCCTTAAAGTGATCTGGTAGAGAGAAGTGACTCTGATCTTTTCAAATATACGAACAATCATTTTGCTCTTTTATCGGTATAAGGAAGATGCATCTTGCCAGAGTGGAATTCACGTAATTCATGTAATATTTAGACACCTGTGGTAAGATTATTTTTCCTCTTTTAATTTGAAGAACCTGCATTTCTCAGTTCTTAGCCATTTCTCTGGGGAAAACGTATGCCAGGCAAACTGGCAGTTTGGCAAAACAGCACTCATTCCAAGAATTATAAAACATACATAACAAGGAGTCTGTTGCTGTTCTTTTCAGGCAGTTGAACAATGAATCCCACAGGGCATCAATAGGAGCAGAGACAAACCTCCCTCCACTTCAGCGTTTTTCTCCACATTTGTGACATGAAGTTAAGGCCCAAATTCCACAAAATACTTAACAGGAAAACTCGCGCAGCCCCATGGCTTGCCTAAGGCACCATTTGCATACAATTTGTTGCAAGATTAGGATCAGAGGCTCTTTTCTTCCTATCTCTACTTCCCTGGGTCTTATTTTTGAGTTGTTATGTTTCTCCTTTTAAATTGTTTTGACCAAAGTCAATATTGTTGGTGCATTTTAATTCAGTGTCTGCTCTACTAATTAATTGTTGGGCTGCCATGGAGAGTTTGACTTCAAAGCAAGAATCTGACTCACATTAAGAAGTGATTACATGAGACATGCAAGGACCAAGGTCTACAAGACTGAATCAAGCCCTTAAATGATTTGACCAAGAACAGAAGTTCATTCACAGTGAAAGTACAGCACCTGATCACACCGTCTAGCTTCCACCTCTTCCCTTCAACTTCAGGCACCCTCCTTTGCAAAGATCAGGTCATTTATAAATGTTAGTCAAACGGAATAAGACCTGCACCTTTTAAATAGTCTGTTACCATCCACAGGTGCTTTATAATGTGGAGGACATACCTCTGTTCTCCTGGAATAAGCAGCAAGCAAAAGCTGCTCCTCTGAAAGCAAGGGATTTGCTCTGCATCTGACTTCCAGGCAGTGTGTGTCTAATTTAGCTATACGTTTTAGTTCAACAGTAAGATTTCTATTTCAGAATTTGTTTCTGTTCTGAATCTGAAAGAGAACGTTGGCACATTGAAGATTTCTTGTAAAAATTTGTATAACCATGCTTGTCGTCAAAATCGTAAACTAGTAATATCAATATTGCAATACTTAGTTTACCATAACATTGAAAACAAAAGCAACTGAAATGAGAGTCAGCATGAAATGTTTTCCTCTTATCAGAATAAATCAGAATGTTGAAATAATGAATTTCTGCTCTCTGCTTTTGAAAATGTCATTGGAAACAACACATTCTCACAAAAGATTTGGATTTCTCTCAAAGTGCATTTTCCAACTGGAATGTGTAAAGACAAGTCTTTTAGTATTGGCCCTGTTTGGTGGTGGTTTGCAAATGCTCTCCATCAACCTACATGACTGCATAAGGTAGGAGAAAATGGTAAATTTGGACCTCTGGATATATACACTGGTGTAACAGAGCAGAAAGTGGTATGTGGTACCAGTTAATGGCTATCAGTTCACATGGACCTGCTTACAGAGATCTGTGGGCAGCTGTATTTCACTATGTCCATCTTTTGCATGAATAAAGAAGAACAAGAATAACTGAAAAGCTGAAGGCTGCTCCAGAGTAGAAAAGCCAGCCCTACTACAAAGAAATTCTTGTGCCTCTTTAATTACCCTCCTTCACCCATAGGTGGAATTTCCACTCAGCCAGCCTCAGCAACCAGGCTGCTAGCCTGGGAAGAGATTTCTGTTTGTCTTTGTACAGCAAACACTGGCTCTGTTGTGCAGCTTGAGTTTCTGATTCTAATGATTTCCTGAATTCATTCTGCTTCATACCTCAGGGAAGGAAGAGGTGATCCTCTTGAAAATTCATATAATTGCTTTTATTTGATTTTTATTAAACCTCATTCAAGAATAATATGATGGCTTTCTTTATTACATTGTTCATCACTGTGGCATTTTTGAATTTGCTTTGCTAAAAGAAACAGTTTACTAAGCCAAAGATTGAACTCAAGGATTTTAGCAGAGAAAACTGGGAGCTTTTTTGGAGGTTCTTTTGATTTCAAAGGCTTTTGTAATATTGATAGCTATCTAATATCATCTCCACTTTCATTCGCTAGTAGCCCCAGCATCTTCCCAGCAGCCAGGCCATCCTGGGGCATGCTGTGTGTGCACAGGGCCAGCTTCTCTCTGCCTTCACCCTAGCTTCTCCCAGCTGCTTCAGAGGTGTGGGAGCGCCTGATCCTCTCCTCTCCCCACACCAGCCATCCTGTGCGTGAGGAGGCTGGTTCTCACTGTCACACGCAGACAGTGGTGGATGAAGAGAAGGCTGCTGCTGTGGTGTGGGAATGTGCAGTGAGGACCGGGTTAATCAGCACCTGTAAATGCTTCTCTAGTTCTTGTAGTGATCATTCCCATTTTACAGTTGGGATCACCAATGCAGAGAAGCAAGCTAAGAAATCTGCGCTTACCAGAAATAAAATAGCTGAGTAATTACATTTCAGGACCAGCAACTTTGTGTTGGTAGCGCTAAAGTATATGGCTTTGGAAAATTTAACCTATTTCTCTCTTTGCCACCAGTGTGACATCATTTACTGCCCATTAATAAGTTAAACACAGAGCCACTTGATGTGTATTTTTATGAGAGTTATATTTTACATAAGGAGAGTCTCAAAGGGGAAAACCCCCTTTTCTATTTTATCACAGGAAATGATGTCTGTGAAAACTTTGTAAAAAGTTCTTTTTATCTTAAAAAGTTTTTAGCAAGAATCCAGTCATCATGGTTTATCCCCTTAAACCATGTCAATATTTATATTTAAGAGGAGTTTCAAATATTAGATTAGCTGCACTCTCAGTTTAATAGGAACAATTCCCATTGACTAGGAACTGCGGCTGAATACTGCAAGGGCTTACTTTGAGTCCTTATGCTTAAAGCTTGCAGTGGCAGTAAGGGTGGTGGGGTCTCTGTCAGTTCATGCATCCCTCCATGAAGAGCTGGATCCCCACAGGACTGTTTTTAGTCTGCTGGAGGGCTCCTGCCACATCCCACCAGCACTCCATGCCACACAGGACTATGTCCTGGGGATGAGCAGCCCTGGCACCTGGTCATCTCACTGAAAGCCTTCCCATAGGAACGGGGCTGGAACAGCTCTTACAGGATAACAGGCAACTAGAGTAGGCTGAGCACAGCTATCGTTGACACAGCTATACTCCCTTAATAAGCACTGCAGACACCTCCCAGGGTTATCTGCAAACTATAATTTGTGCGAGGCACATACTTTCGATGCTACCAGCAATTAGACTTCTGTTTCCTACTTTTTATGGAGTAACGGCAACAGACCTTGTGCTGCAGGACAAAAGACAGTCAGATAGAGCATCATTTCTTCGTACAGTTACTCTTTTTCACCCTCCCTTTCCTGAGACAAGGAATGGGTTATTTCGTACCGCACGGAGTGGCTTGCCCTTGCCCTTCTCTCATAGCAGACATGTTTGGATGAGAGATGCCGACTGGTCCAAGATTTAGCTGGCATTTCATCCTCCAAGCTACGTGATCAGAGTGTCCTGCTCACATCCTCAGAATTAAACTGATCATCAGTTTTCTGGACAGTGAGGAAGTTTTCCATCTATTTAAAACTTCTTTTTCCTTCAGTTTATTTTTTTCTGTAACTTGAAATACAGTTGCTGTCTATAACTGTAGTGAAGTTTTGTTTAATAAGATTAGGAAATATTTCCCTGGCTAAGGATGTGGAATCATCATCCTGAGGAAGCTCCTGGCACTGGATATCTCCTGCACTATTGCAGGGATCACTTTGGGTGATTTGGGTGTCCCTTTCCAGTCCTGTGTCCCCCTGGCAGGGGAGATGTTTCCTATCTGGTAATACATAACAGCTGAAAATTTCCATATTTTATTAAACATGGGAAGACCTCAGCCCACTCTCATGGCCCTCAGTGTGGGGCACCATATGAATGTAAAGAAGACAACGACTGAAAGAATTTAAATCTTCCCTGGTCCATCAAATACCTCAGGGTGACTCCTGACCTAGGACCCCATGCTCTTTGTCATTTTCCTGGCCGCTTCGTACTTGATCGCATGTTGTTTGCACTTAACGTTAGTGAAGTGACCTGAAAATTATGATGCTACAGCAAAGATCAAAAGGCACAAAAAGGTGAGTAAATATAAATAGTAAAGTGAAAGAATACAACTAGACAGTAACAAGTGCTAAATGGTGTATTTCACAAGAACTTGAGCCTGCACTTCCCCAGGAACTACACCTTTGCAACACGGTTCTCAAGCCTCTATATAGTTACCTTTTTCCTTCCAGATTAATGCTCATTTTAGGACACCTCAGCTTTGGCTACTGTTAGCTCTAAACTATTTATTTTCAGAGGCTGACTTTCACATCATGTAATAAATTGCTGGGATATGTGGTGCATGCAGAGAACTGCTGGGTGCATTTCAACTAGAAAAACAAACTGGAACAATCTTTCTAAACAGACATTTATTTTATTGAAAAAAAAAAAGCTGTAGAAAATTTTATGCTTTTTTTCACATAACTTCACAGAGAGAAAAAAATCAAAATGTTAACACCCTCTCTTTACTTCTACATTTTCTATTATTTAACTCATTTCCTGTAGATGTTTGCTAAAATTCAGCATTTTCACAATTATTTTAGGTTTAAAACCCTTAAAAATGGTTCTGAATCTGGAGCTTGGCTAAGTCAGAAATGAAATACAACTTTTCCCATTGCTTCCTCCTGATGCTAAGGACTTTTCCTATTACTCTAATGTAATCTTCTGGTTTTGTGAGGTATCCTCCAGATTGACTCGACTCCAGAGACCCCCATGTGCTGTCACAGCAGTGGTGGTTCCTGCCACAACGCCAACAGCGCTCCTACATGTTCTAAGTGCTTTGCAGTATAAATGGGCAGCAATGCTGTTTCTGTGCTTGGTCTCTCTGGAGTAACTCAAAAATAAACCAGCACATATCAGACAAACTCTACGTGTTCAATCTTGGATTGTTTGCCATCTGGAGCAGTTTCCTTAGGGCTGGAGAATTTTTTTCCTGAGGACTGCACCCCCACCAGGCTGCTGAAGCATGCTTGTCTCTTTCTCTCTCCTACCCAAAAGCTTCTTTTCATACATTATGATTCAGTTATAAGCTCTGTTATTATTTTCTGTTCCCATTGTTGATCAGAATACAGCCCCCTGTTAAGACCTGTTGTCCTTTAACAGTCCTTGCATAGGTATCAGACACTTCAGCGTGCAGTGGATCCCATCCACATTAATGCTCAGAACAGCAGAGCAGGTTTGCAGCATCTGTCTTCGTCATCCTCATTTATCCTGCCCTGGTTTGATTTGCAGTTTTGGAGTGTATGAATCATTTTCTTTTTGCAGGAAACTAAAGCAGAAGCTGTCTACTTCAGGTGCACACTGGTTGTGCTTCAGCCCCTAGCAGGGACAAAAGTGGTCCTTAGAAGACATTTAAACTGCATGCATTCAGGCTGTCCAGTCAATCAAACTAAATATAATCTAGGATAAAATGCCAAACCGCCTGCACTCTAGATGTAGAGCTCTCACAGCCAGTCGCATTGTTGTACCAAGCTGCTCTTCCTATGCCTAATTGCTTGCTAATGTAGACAAAGGCAGAGGCACATAAAGGTACAGCAATTCATATCATCAGCTTCCTAAAATCAATGACTTTGTAAGTTTCTGAGAACATTTAAACTTCTGGCTTATGTCTCTAGACAGCTAGTGCTATACAGATGGCATAGCGTATTGCATCTACGTAGTCAAATCTGGTAGATGCCTTCATTTGGTGTTACGATAATTAATGGATTTTTATGTGATAAAAAGATGGGGTGAAGAGAGAGATCATCTATCAATATTCCACCTATTGGGAGCTGTGATTAAGTCCTTGAAGCTTTGAGATGTGGTAAGGCTGCAGAGCAGTTTAGGATAACAAGTGAAGACTATTATCATGTCCAATTACTCTCGAAAGGAAATTAAGAGAGGCAGAATATAATTACTTGAACTGGAATGTAGCCAGAGTGTTGGGGTGATCATTTGCTATATGATCATTAATGACTGTGGTAGATAACTGTGGATTTAATGCCACGAGGTAAATATTCACTCTCACCAAGGAGTATGCTCATTAAGAAAAATATGGATGCAGTCATAAAAGAATGTTAATTGAATCCTGTGTATGGGTGAGCATTCATCTTCCAAAACCAAGTATCAGCAGTAACATCACTCAAATGCACAGAAATGCTGCATAACATCTAATGGGAGTAGGGAATCAAAGGCCTCTGTATTATATATGTATATATATTTATATATTTGGTTCTGACGTAGAGCATCAGATGATGGTATCTGTACTTAGCTCAGCCTGCCCTCTTGGATGCTGTAGAAGTAAACACACAGGGAGGCAAGGAAAACTGCTAAGCAGTATGAATTTAAGGAATGACTTGCCAGAAACTCTGGATATGAAAAGAAACTTTTGAGGTTTCATGGAAGACAGACTGTTTAACAAATGATGTACAATCTTGTCTTCTGCACTTCTGTCCTGAAAGTAGTACAAAGATTTTGTTTTTCAGTAGTGTCTTTCATGTATTTAGGTTGCCCTTCAACTGAGCTTCCTAGTTCTCCCAAACAAAGGATAAACAATATATGATAATTGCTTTACCTTTTGCTGCAATGCAGCAGAGGCATAACCACATTATCAATAGAGGTGTGAAAAAAATCAGCGCTTGAGGACTTTTAAAATACTTTGCTAGAGACAGAGAGTTGGCTGAATTACTGACTACAGTGGCCAGTGCCTTTGCTTCAGAGCTCATCTGAAGAAGGGCACATCTAGCTGCTCAGCACCTCTTACTTCACATAATGCGCAGGCTCAGTCAGAACTGTCCCTCACTGAAACCTGAGTGCTGCAGCTGTAGATGCCTCTAGGAGAAAGAGATTTGAGGAGGTACCTCCGAGTGTTTACCAGCTGCAGAGGAAGATCCTGGAATGATGTCTCTTGGGTCAAAACTGAAACCTAACATCCACTAATGTAATTTATCGCAAGTTTCTTTCCTTTGGTAGGACTGAAGTTCCTCAAAATGTTTTTGCTCTTGCCAATAATTCACAAGGATGTCTTGATAGACTGGGAAAAACTTCAAATCCAGCTCCTTGATAAAGACCTGGATACTTAAAATGCATGAGGCTTCATCCAGAACTTGCTTAAGTCCATAAGCACAGTGTCTTCAACAAATGGAGGCAGGTGAGGCTTTGATTCAAACTGATAAGCTTTCAGGAAGGTTCAACCAAACCCACAGAAAACAGTAAAGAGATTTGTGAATGAGGCCAGGGGAGCGATGGAAATAGCAGTCTCTTCTGTTACTGCCTTCAGGAAGTCCCACAAGCCCTTCTCCGCTTCTGGAAGAGCTCGAGGTAAGAGACCCGCTTGATTTGAATCAAAAGAATCTTGTTAAAAACCTTCAAGCCTCTGAGAGAGCTGCTTATATTAGCATGGTTATTTAGTCTGGAAAAAGGACTTCATTGCAGTCATCCTTGGGAGGCCCAGAGTGCCAGCTGCAACTCCTGAGAAAGGAAATTCCAGCCAGCACAGAGAGCGCTCCTGTTTCCACCGCCCCACTCATGGACAGGGCTTCTGGAGGCTTCCAGACCCCCTCTTGCTGACTGCTTTTTTCACAGAGCAAAAAGGCAGATAAATGTGTCTGTTCCAAAGGAAAGGACAGGATTTTTTGACATTGCCAACTTTAAGGATCTGTCTGGCAGAAGGTGACCAAAAGAAACCAGATCTGGAACTGACAAACAGACTGTAAGGTCAGCCCTATTTCCGCACATCATGTTTAACAGGGGAAGAGGAGGAATAAATCCCATCGTGTCTATGTCTTAAATAGTTGAGAACCTCTGCATGGTTGGAAAAGTGAAGTCTGTGGGGCAGTGCATCAACTTTTGTGTCATTCTCTTACTTGTGGATGTGTAAGGGCAGCTAACAGCGCTTAACCTAGCCTAACACTGCTGCTATTGATAAACAGGAAAACATTCATTAAACACATAACTTTGAGGAGAGATCTCTTAACTCATCAAACTGAGTGCATCAAAGTGGAATCCTTTATGGCATCATTACATGGAGGGTACATTTTTTGCCTTTTTAACTTGAACTATCACAGGTCAGTCCCTCGGGTGCCTTGTAACAGTGGTCATCATCCCACAACTTGTGAGGGATTTCATTGACCACTAGGTATTTCACACCGCCACCTGGAATGAAGAGGAACTTTATTCTAGCAGAAACATACAGGATAGAGAGAGCAAACATGGGAGCTGGAACATGCTGCCTTCTACAGGAAAAAAAAGTGTGAATCCACTGCTCTAAAGTAGCTGCTCCATGGATCATCTCTCATGTTTTGTGGTGTAGGACGCTGGGCACAGGCGGCTGACACGCAGACACTTGGTCCAGGCTGGGGCTCCTGAGGCTGTGTTGGGAAGAGCTCCTACCCCAGGTGGCTGGGGATGAGCGAATGGGTCAGGCAGAATGACAAGGAGCAACAGCTCCAAGGGTTGAGGACATGGTGTGAGGATATGAGTTTACAAGAAGTAGAAGGTGAAGCACGGCCTGGAGCAGGTGGGATGGCTAGAAGAATCTGAAATGTCATTGCAGTTCCCAAATTTCCTGGTCAGAGCACCTGGGAGGATTAAGAAGAAAGGAGGAGGCATCTGAATTTGTTTACAGGTGTGAGCTTATTGGAACTTGCTCTTTCCATATCCTTCTAGGAGCTTATCAAAGGCTTGCTCCTTCTTCTTTGAGCTTCCAAAGGTGCTCTGGTTTACTTCCACTCTGTTACAGCTGAGTACTCGTACTAAGGACTTGGAACAAAGCCACAGCCTAGCCTTTATTTCTAGCCTCACAGTATAGATCCATAAAATAAACCCTTGGATGGCATAGTAATATTCAAGAATACCTTAGCTTGAATAAACTTTTATGGCAAAACTATAACCCTTTCCGTGCGAGTCAAATGAAATTCATCTGATTTATATCTTTTGTTATTATCATTATGGATCACACAGAGTTACCAGGTTCTTCTGTTTCCTGACAAATAAATCAACGTGTGTAGAAGATACCAAGAGGCAATTCAGCAGAACCAATGGTGCACTGTCCAAAACTCTCCTGGCACTGGAAAACTCTTTGGCTGCCCCAAAGTGTGGTCTCTGTAGGGATAGCGCCTGCTCCCCGGTGCCAGTGTTGGCATTAATGCAGCATCATACTTTGCCCAGTGCTGTTCCCTACGAGGTGCAATGTGAGCTGGTGCTGCCTGTCTGCTGGGCCACCCCATGGCTGCTGCTGGGATCTTCTCATGGTGTTGCTCACAAGTGCGAGCAAGATCAAGAACTGCAGGCTGCCCTGGGTTGCGGCCCCCTGGGACTTCTCCGCTGCCTGCTGAAGCCCGTGGCAAAACAAAAGGAAAATCAAATAGGAGGTAACATTTAAGTTTGGTTTTAAAATTAAGATGCAAATCTGCTACACAAATACCCTACAGCAGGCAATTCCAAAGGGAACACGTTTCATTTTGTATCGGCTTAAATTTCTTAAACTAACTTCACTGACATTTGTCTTGTGCCGGTTAATTTACTTATGTCTGCTTTACCATTATCATGCTAAGCACAGATAAAGTTCTCCACACAAAGGTTTATGCTAGCATGACAAATCTTGCACTGTAACAAAAATGTTTTTGTATCAAACTTGCCCCGTGCGTCAGCAGCAGCCAGCACTGTGCATGGCTCTTTGTTCCTGGTGGAAATGGTGAAGTGGCGTTTGCCACGTCCCTGGCAGCCTGCGAGGAGAACCAGAACAGCCCTTCAGCCAAGGAGGACGTAGCACAGATATGGACAGCCAAGGGAAGGGGTGGAGGATGCAATCAACCTGAGGCAATTTTCAGCTGACGCTGTCTATCTGCTTTTTACCTTAAAACATTAATCTATAATATTTTGATTTGATCTTTTGAATATGGTTGTTGGAAATACGGATGCATTTCAATACCCTTTGAAACTCTTAATTTTAGGAGCAGAAGGATAAGAAGACCATAGAAAATTAATCTATATATACATATATTCAAAATTATCCTTTTCTAATCAGTTCTAAACCGTTGTTTCTTTCAAAAGCTGGAGGAAAAAAAAATATTGTGTTGAGTACTTTGAGGAAGGTATCAGTTCTCAGTCTTGCTCACCACTCCTCCCACACCCCAAACGACGCCTTTACTTGGAAAGCTATATATCTCACTTACGAAAACAAAGCTTTCAAGTCTCAGTTTCTGATATACCCTTTCATCCATAGTATCACAGTTCCTATCAGCTCTTATGATTGCTTCTGCCTCTCACAACAGACATAGGGATAAAAATCAGCATGTTCTACTTTCCCTTTCTAAGCCATTAAGAATACACATAAACAGAACAATAGCATCAAATAGCTGGGAGATTTGTTTTCCTTTCCATTGTATTAACCGCGAGCCTGTTTGGCAGTAGTAACAGCCAGCTCCACATCAGCGACTGCGGTCTGTGAGGACAAGGATCATGCTCCCACCTCTGGGATGGAGAAATGGCAATGCAGAGGAAAGCTCCCACTGGCTTAGTGACAGAGGGGACGGGAGGCCGAGCTAGGCAGAGCCAGGCCTCCCCAGCTCCTGCAGGGCCACAGCAATTTATTTTACCTTTCTTGAGCTGCCCTTTCTCATGCGTGGCAACCATCTCAGTGTGTCCCTTGGGGCTCCTGGGTCCTCCCCAGTCCTGCTTGCTTGCAGTCTGTCTTCTCTCTGAATATATTTCAAGAACCTTTGTTACAAAGTAGGGAAGTGCAACCAACACAGCCTACAAGAGCTCTTTCCCAAGAAGAAAGCAAGAGGGCTGCACTCTTCAAACATCTTAACAGGGTTAAAATTATGGTGATTGCACTTGCAGGCAGGCAAATAATCATTTAGTATGCTATTTTACCTGCAAGGTCATGGACTCTGCAATGATTAATGGGTAGGTTCATTTTCTACATTTCTTTTTAAAGCTTTGGTCCGATAGGGCTCTTCTGAATTTCTGGAAGATTAACCATTTGCAGTTACCCAGCTGCTACCGCAGCCTCTTTCATTTTAAACAAGCAAACAAAATGAAACAAAACCCCCCAAACAAAAGCCTTTCTGTTTAGTCTTTCACATTATGCTACATGCTAAACCATCCTGATACATACTGTCAGTCCCCAGGCACTAGATTACATTCATTACCCAACTTAGCTCCAATCTCGACCAAAAGGAGCAAAGGGACAGCACACCAAAAATAAACTGCATCATCTTGGTCTTCCAGATAACCTTCTGCTCTTCCTAGTTACAGTCCTAGATGCTTACATTGACGTGACTTTGCCTCCCAGCTGATGATGAGTGAATTACATTGCTGGTAATGCTCACAATGATTTGTTCCTCTCAGTTTTCTGCACAGTTACAGTGTTATTTAAGTTTTCTGAAAACATTTAACATCAGAACTACTTCATTTTCAGTATTTAAAACTCAGGAAGGTAACTACAGAAGCAGATCACTGACTTCAAAAGCATATTCCTTTCTCGGGAGGTGCTGGGTGTTTTAATAGCTAACCAAATCACTGGGAGGGAGTCACCAGAACCACTGGTTTCTTTAAATGCTGCCAGGCATCAAGGTTCATCTCCAGCTGCCTTTGTAATTTTGGCCTAACTCCTCACTCGTTACTCAGAGTACCTCCAGTTGTGGAAACTGCCAGCTTTGTTCACCGCAGTGTTACAGCAGTATGAACTCCGAGCAGGCTCTATGTGGTGGTGTGTGATAAGAGAAGTTATTTTGTGATTTCAAGATAGTTGTATTTCTTTCCTCCGCTGACAGCTTTCACATCAGTGTTAAGATGATCCTACAAATTCTTCTACAGCATTTTTAGGAAACAAATATAGTTTGGAAAACAGCTGACTCAATCTTTTTCATCTAATAAAACCAATATTGTTGCTTTAAAAAAAATTAAATTAGGGTTTTCAAACAAAAACCTTAATTTCCAAAGACATACTTTTTACTACTGCATGTCTATCACATTTTACTTCATTTCACTGAAAAATATTTTATCAAAAAGTTGTGATACAGCTTTCACAGAAGCACTATTTAGTTTTGTGCTAAGCTGAAATGCTGAGAAATGGTAGAGAGGAAGAATGCCTTGAAAACTTTAGGCTGCCTTCATGGAGGTCTGGTGTCCTTGGGATAGTACAGAAAAAAGGAAAATCCCCCAAACAAGACTCTCATTCTCTAGTTTCATTCTGGCCAGTGCTCACATAAGGACATCATTTTCTGGTCAGAAGAAGGTTTTACTATATATCAGAGACAGACCTTTTCTCATTGTATTTATTTTCCTCCTCTTTATTTTTGACCAGCATTTCTGATGCTCCCATTGCGTGTTACAATCACAAAGACATGCAGCTATCACCCCTCTGGTTTATCCATGTGTATTCCACAATCAAAAGTTTTCATCTAAGAAAGATGAGTGTAATATGACCTTGTAGTGCCCTGTAAGACACTGCAGCAAGAGAAATCCCACTTCATGCTGTCACAGTTTGCATTCTGGAATGCATTCTTCAGCATCAAGCCATGCATGAAGCCTTCTGTACGTCTACGTCATGAAGTGGTGCCTCCCTGAACTTTATGGAAATGTTTTCTGGAGTGCTTGTGGTACGCAAAATGTGCTCTCTGCAGACAGCAACGGTGGCCTCTGCTCTGCAGGGCTGTGGTTAAAAAACAACTATAACAGGGAGTTGGGGAGCAATGAGCACATGAGGTTGTAAGGTGATGCTTGGGTACGTCCTGATAAAATACTGATGGGATCCATTGGAAATCAATTTTAGTCCCCACATCAGTGCTAGAATTAATCTAACTTTGAACACATCTGAAATATTTGACTGTGTAAAGCTTTACTTGTTTGCAAGACAGCGCCACGAAAATGAAACGCCCCACACAACTCCATTGCTGAGGTTGCTGTGGTCTATGACAACTTCCACATGCTAGTTCTCATCCACCTTTATGATAATTTCTAGCTCTCCTTCCCATCGTACTGCCTGTACCACTGCAGGACGGTGGTTTGCTGTGCCCTACATCCCTAACGATGCAAAGAGACCTGTTAAAATGCTTTTGTAGCTGCTTGGAAGTGCCACTAGGTAGTGGCTGAGGTATGCTATAACCCTGAATTACTTCTGAAATTAAAATTAAAGGAACTATGGTTAAAAAGATTAAGACAGTCTCTGTGAGTCCAGCCATGCCCCTCTCCAAGTTTTCTCTGTTAAAGAGAAGGCAATGTGGCGTTCGTTTTTTTTCTGCACAGGACACAGTGTTCTCTGTTCAAGGGTGTGATCTGGAAACTGCATTTACAAACTTTTGCTGGCAGCTTAGGAAAATATAACAGCATATTTACATTTCCTCAGGGCAGGTCCTAACTTCGCACTTGGGCAGGTGAGTTTTGGAAATTTTGGACAAAAGTGCTGAGGACTGCCGGGATCCATTTTTACAGAGAGTATTCTGAACTTCTCTTCAAGTGAGATTATGTCATTAAATCTTTACAAAAGATTGAACTATTTATTACACTGCACGTTTTTACGTTTTCTTCCTTCCCCCCCCCGAATGAAGAACTGAAGGGGTTTAATAAAATGTTTTTTTTTTTTTTTCCCCCAGTCCTTTTTCTTTCAACATTTTACCTGTTTAACAGGGTATATAACCTGCATAACTAAGAGTCTGATTCACAGACCATGGACTTGGTGAAAACATTTTTGTAGAACACAAGGAGAGGTCTGACCCATGTCCAGGGGAGAAGCCCCCACAGCCACCCCTGCATGCAATGCTCATCACCCTCAGGTACCACCCAGCAGGTAACTTTAACAGGTTTTGTGAGTGGGTCTTTTGTTTTCTGCATTTCTGTGGTATGCGACTGAGTTGTATTCTATAAATATCAAACAGACCTGTGGTCAGGCTGCTCTGACTGCAGTCTGTGCAATGGAAAAACAGAAAAGGGATGTTTGAAACTTATAATTTTCATCACTTTGCCTTCTGCACGTTGAACTCACAACATTTTAATATCTGCGCCTATCTTTGGAGGCAGCTGCCGTGCTTTTTGGCTGTGGCACTCACAGATACAGACACACTGCTCTGCCAGCGTCAAGCTCTGCTTTTGTCCACTGCTCATTTCCCCTCAGGTAACTTTTGCATGTAAATACATTTTGCTCCCTGTGCTGTAAAACTGGAGAAGTACACACTAGTCAAAAATGGGGAAAATAGCCTGCCAATAGGAACTGGGCTTTTCAGAAATATGATTTAAGAGGTCTTGACTGGAAATCAATTAGAGTCCATCATGGAATATTTGAGCTTCAAGCCATTTTAGTACGAAGCTGAGACAGGAGAAAACACCATCAGAGCCCTTTAAGACTGAAAGATGCAGTGTTTTTACAAGGAGATAGAAGCAGCCTTTCCAAGGGCAGAATGGCACTCCCCCAGACTTTTGCACAGACTAAACACTCTGAAGTTAATCAGACTTCTCTTTCTCTTTTCATTCTTCTTTTTTCTAGAAACAGTACCCATGCCATACAAGATCTAGTTGGTTCGTGTAAGCAGAAAAAATAAATTTAGCATTTCTAATAATAGTTTCATCCTCTATCCTGCATATGTCCTAACACAAGGAACATCAACAGTACTATCATTTGCTCTCTCATCTATGCTGCCTTTCCATATGCAATTGAGTTTTTATCAAATGCTACAACTGCAATCTGTGCATCACCTAAAAAGGCTTCTACCAAAGACCTAGTCATGTCAGCCACAGCTTTGGCCTCCTAGCTCATCCTCATGACAGTATAAGGCTGATCTGGCAGCACGGCTTGCTGTACATTTTAATACAGTCATCAAGTGCAGTACATGATCATTGTGTAATTAAGAGACAAAGAAACAGGAGTTGTATTGCAAGTCACCACATGACTACTCAATGGTTATTTGAAGCCATTTGTTGTGTAATTGGTTGGAACTCTCTTAGAGATTTTTGAAGCATTTCAGAGGTGTTTTAAAGGGAATTACTCAAAAAGATTAGTGGTTAGAAATTAATAAATGCAATGATTTAGGGGCCTTTTTTCTTTTTTTAAGAAAAAAAAAAGAAGAGCAATTCATTTTAACAGTTAATCACTGCTACTCATTTTTTAAGGAAGGCCATAACATATTTTATGGGGGTGCTGAAACAATATCCCTGTGTCAGATTCTCTCCTGTTACCCACTTGTGGAGAGATAAAGTGAAAAGTAATTCTTCCATTCCAGGGCTCGCTCTCTCTTCCATGCTTTACTGCCAACTATTTTTCCTTATGGTTTAATATTCTGATTCACTTAATGTGGACTCATCCTCAAGGTCCAAATCCTTCAAGTGGTTTGTAGGACATGTGATGAAACAGAGTACAGGTAACAATATATCACATCCCACATCCACTGACTAAAGAGTACAAATCATACCCAATATTAGGGTTTGCAGGGGGCTGATACCAGGCTGCAACCCAAAGGAAGAAGCAACACATGGCACAGTTTTACCATGAAACTCGAAATGATCAATGTTTATAGTCTAGTTTAAAAAAAATAAATAAAAAAATGAAAAAGATAAAAGAAATAAGGCCAGTTGGGGAAGTAAACATCTGGTGGAAGAGAAGTGCAAGAATAGGAAAGACAGTTTTAGCTGGCATCAGATTACACCTGGAGAGCAGAGAAACTAAATTTAACGAGCAAAGGGAAGTTTGCAATAATACAGC